ATGACAGCTCGTATTGATCCACTTCACCATCACTCAGTCCTGACGAATGGCTTTAAACCGGCAATAAGTGGGATCATTGAACCCTCTGAAATTCAACCATCTGATGCGCTACAACAGGCAGGGCCCCAGGAGACCCGGGGGAGAGACACACCGCTAAACAGATTCCTCTGTTGTAATGCAAAGTCTCATCTTTTCATAACGGGGATGCTTAGGCAACGCAGCTCTGTAGTTTTACGACCGCCACTGTTCAGAGAAGGAGCAGTGTTGTCTTTTGATAACCAGGACAAAAAATGGATTGGTGTTGGCTTCATTTGGTAGTACTTGAGTAAAATGTCATGGTATTGCTGAATTTACACACACATTTTAAGCTAAATTGTAAAAATGACATGACCGCTTCAATCTAAAAAAAAAAAAAAAGGATTCCTACTGCTGCTGAAATAATACCTATATATACCTATATATAACCTAAGGAATACAATTATGTTCAGCTTCATTCATAGACCAAAGTAAAAAATACAGAAAAATACAGAAGTTTTAAGTGCATTTATCAAAGAATGCATTTATCAAAGAATGCAATGCAAAACTTGTTGAACTATTTGTTAGGCTAAGTTAGGTTCCCCCTCATGGCTTTCCAGCAGTAGTTTTAGATCGTTTACTTGAGTAAGAGTTTCAATAGCAGGACCGGTAGGGTTCTCACCAGGATTTTTTATTAGAGTTGGGGTAGGGCTGTGTGATTTTTTTTTTCTTTATTCTATGCTCTACAACTATATTGTCTTCCTTTTTTGATTGCCTCTTTACTAATTGAGCCTACCCCTATTTCTTGCAATCTTCTTCCATACTGAAAGGCAAGGTTCATATCTCTCTTTTATATGGAAACATCAGAGAAACCCAGTGAGGGGTTATTGCCATCTACTTCAAGCCACGGCTTCACACCAACGCTTCACACCAACACAGCAATAATGCTGCGTTTTATTGGGTAGAGTGTCAAAAAAAAGAATAAATAAATAAAAGCATGACTATCATATGGTTCAGCTTGACAGATCAAGAACCTGGATGCTCCACCGCTACCCTCGAAGGTTGCTCTCTGTCTGCTGGTGGGACGGGAGCCCATGTGTTCACCTGCCTGCAAGAACACTTACATGTCTGAGTTGAACGCAGAGTCTAAAATTTTTAGGGTTCACATTTTCATAGCGCTTATCCGATGCATGGCTGCAAACAAGCATGTCAATGTGTTTAAAAAAAAACTTTCCACAGCCATTATTTCCATAAAATTGAGTGCATCGGTCTGATTTCGGTGTAATTTTGACAACTTTCACTATAACAAGTGGTTGTGTGAAATGCGCTGGACACCACCCTAGTGCGCGGGAGGGGCAGATATCAGTTACGGGAGGGGGGGGGCAGTCACAGGGTCGTGGTGACAGTGTGGGGTCCTTCTACATTGAAATACACTAGTCAGAACCCGGAATAATCTGTGTTCCTTTGTGACCTAAAATATTTTTAAACAGACAAATTTAGGTTCATTTTAAGAGAGGCCAACATGTAGTAACCAGAGTTCAGCTAGTTAATATGAAGATCATTTTGAAAGCTCAGTATTTGAACATTAAAAAAAAAATTACACCTATTCAGATTGTTGAGTACACAAATTGATCCTTACATTCTTAGTTTTTGTCCAAGTATTCCAAGTCTCTCGATGGCTGTATTTTTGCATTGTAACTTGGGAGATTTTATAATTACAGATTTTTCTTTAACAATTTTATTTAAAAACATCATCTCTTCAAATTCTGGTGTACAAGTACACAACCTTTGCTTTGTGAGTCATGCAAAATGTCTTGCAATTTTAGTTTTGTTTTGAGCCTTGGTATTCCCTCATTTCTAGTTGTGTAAGGGGAAAAAGAATACAATATAACGAAAATTTTTTTTAAAAATTTAAGGAATGAATACAAGGGTTTGCATTTGTTTTGCACCGCTTGTTTTAGATTAACTCGAACAAAACTGAGAGTGCAAGATATTGATTTGTGACTCAAAAAACACACATACTCAACTATTTGAAGAAGTTTAACCTTTCTTCCGTTATATGTAAAAGTTAGAAAAAAGCATACAATTACAAATTCTCTATTTTACTTTCCTCAACAACTTCAAATTGTTAAAAGAAAACCTTGAACCCTTTTGCACGCTGCGTGGGATCTTCTTAAGAGCCCTTTCTTTCAGCAATCTATTCATGTTACATCAGAATAACCTAAACCAACACTGCACCCTCAATGCATCAACCTGTTGGTACGATATAGTTGTGCCAACATAATGCTGGTGGAATGCTTTGTTAAAATCTAGTTAGAAGCTCCAGCAGACCTGAGCAAGGTTTAGATAATCACCTTCAGCCAGATAGAAACACTACATATAATCAGAACTGGGGTTCAAAAATATGGCCCAAACTTATATCACAATATATTTATTAATTTCTTTATCAATTTAATATTGATATTACTGAAAAAAAACAGACTTTCAAAAATGCTACCAATTGAATCCTGTAAGAATCTAAGACAATTATTTTGCCATGTATAGAGCAGTCATCCAATATTACATTTTAAAATATTTGCTTTAAAAAAAAAAACATAAAACTAAATAAAAGAGAGTCGGTGACAAATGCAGTGGTAATGGACTGTACTTAATACTGAAGTACCTGAAATTTTATATTGTAATTATTAAATAAATGCTTACTGGGATATATAAATATATTGATGTTGCTTTACTGTCCAGCTCTAATCTGAGATACTAAGAAAGGTTTTAGGTTATATCATAATATTTGTGTGTTCTGTGTTGCCTGCAGATTTACACTGCTTGTGTTCCACTCCAGCACAGAATTACTTTAGCTCTGATTTACGATGGAAGCGCTCAAATACCCCCCTCTTTGAAGCTGAGATGAGCTCCGAGTAAAATGATCAAAACACACAAAAGAAGGCAGTGATAAATGCAAATGTCAGACCAAAATAATTCATTCAAAGTAAAAAGAGTTATAAAACGTTCCCTTTTTATATAGTATGTCTGTGTCCAGTTATAAAGCAGTTGTATTATTGGAATAATAGTGCATTTCATCTTTAGTGCTTTGACTACCTTTTTTAGTTAACAGAAATGTATCTAATGTTGACGATGGTTAATAGACAGATATACGTACATTTACAGATTTGTCTATTATTATAGGGAGTCCTTAAATAAAATCTAGTTATTCTTCGGCAAATTATTTGATAATATGGATCCAAAGTGAGTTTGGATTCCAAAATGGTCCAGCCGTGCTGCTGGGTCAACCAAGAGAAGAGATGCAGTGTGAGAATTGTGTGTAAATAGAGCCTACTCAAAGTCCATAGAACCTAGTGGAATTTGCAATCTGCAGGTGCTTTTCATTCAGTCTAACATAAACGCTATCTTGCAAAGAAGAAAGCGGAAAACTGTCAGTCTCTAAATCCACAAATCTAGTAGAAAACCTTTTGCTGCTTGTACGGCAAAATGCTTCTAAAAAGGATTATTTGTCCATCATAAGGCCTAAAACTTAAGGTCAGGTTAAAAACAAGTGAGCAGCAAAGAACAGCTTGCTTTTATTCCATAAGCCTTACAGCTCTCACTGCATTGTGCCTGGAGGTTATTCCACATTCAGGATGCATTATTTTATTCTGCTGAGAGGTTAATTAAATTAATGTGACAAGGAGACATTAGACAATGCTGTAAATGTCATTTAGCTGCAATTCAGCACAGAGCATAATAAATTCAGCAGCTCTGAAATGAAAGCCTTGTAACCACTGAACTGCAAAAAAATAACATTCTGTCAAAACATTTCTTTAACAAGTACCCTCATTTTGGAAGCACCACACACACACACACATTCACACATATACAAATGGCATGTCCTGCTGTCCTGAAGAGGTCTTTACATTACCTTCCATCCATTTCACCTCCATTTGTGTGGTCTAACCCTGGTCATTACAAATATATACCCAACCCAAACCCCTACCTAAACTCTGCTTACACCTAAACGACAAAGCAGCATATTCCTGAAAATCCACCTTACACTGTCCCCACAAGTTAACCAATACATGCCCACACATACGTTTCTGCAGACCTGTTGATGTGTGCTGCAGATAACATTGCTCTATGCACCGCTGGTTTCATCATGAGCCAGAATCAAGCCACTAAGTGTAACTCTGTGTCATTCAAACAGTTGCTTCATTTGCTCGGGATACAGATGGCAATCCTTACCTGCAAAAGTGTTTCCAAAAGTGGGGCCATTGTAACCTCTCCTAAAAATCTGACACAACTCTGATGCAATGCTATGAGCGTGCACATCCAGAGAAAAGAAAGAAAAGAAACATCTAGGATTGTTGCACCTTTAATGAGGTGGCATGGCAGATGTTCACTTGCAGCCTCTTGGGCTGAATAAAGTGCGGACTGCGGACACATGAATAGTCGCATGGATCCGGGTCTGCAGCTGCTGAGCGGCCACAGGATACACAAGCTGCAATGCGTGTTTTTTCCCCCCTCTGAAGCGCACCTGAAGCGCAGAGCCTAGGAAAGACTTGAGGGGATGAGTTTTATCTATGAATATACTGTAGACTAGAATTAGAGCCTGCTGCTCATTTCATTCTCCAGAAAAGCCACTGCCTTCCCCGTTTGGATAGATCCCGTTCGACAGCTCATACTTTATCTCTGCTTCTTACTTTTTAAAGCAACTCCTGCAACATCCAGTGGAGAACACAGTTTAAACCAGATCTAGATCTTCTATAAAAACGGAGCGTATCTGGGTGGATAGTGGACACTCTTATTAAAACAACAAACCGAGAGGGATGCTGAGATTCGAGGAGAAGCTGGTGCGCATCGTGCGCGCAAACGCACCAACTTCACTTCGCGAGCGCTATACTCTTCTTCACCCTTTTTTTTAATTGTTGGGCTTATTGAGTGTTGTGAAGGAGGAGATCCGTCACTAGATCGTTCAGGGGAAGAATAAACTAACTCACCTTTGTGAAGAAACGCCGCTGAAATCACTAAAACATAGAAAGAAATAGCGAGAGATCCGCTCCCCGTGATCGCCATGTTGGATACCTGCTTGAGACTGGCGGCGCTAAATCACCTAGAGACGGCCATGGGATGGAAATGTAGACACATGAGGGGCGGAGAGAGAGAAAGAGAGGATAGGGGGGCTGCTCACTATTGCATGGGAGCTGCATTACGTTGCAATGACACCTAGGCTGCTATAGAAATAATCCAACGCTTCCTCATGAGACTTTTAAAAAATGTTTAAGGCTATGTTATTGCCTACTCCGATTGCCTGCTTAGACTTCCTGTAATTCCCAGAGGTCGAATTGAGGGAATATAAATGTGATTCCATTGGAAGCATGAAATACCAGGCAGTGCTGTGAGGTAAATTCTCCACAGAGGACCACAGACACTTTATGGTTGTATTATAGTAATTTTCTTTTATGGGTTTTACGCTGTTTATTCGGATGTGGGAAACCAAGTTATGCTCTGTTGGCTGGGCTTTTTTTTATAGCAGTAGAATGTAATGGTCTGATAAAAATTAAATTTGTGTTCAGTATTCATTTTTTGCATGTCAATAAATTAATATACAATGGGTTATATATATTTTCCTGAAATACCTAAATACAAGAAGACCTTTTCTATAGCTGTTACAATTGTACACACATTACATGTTAAACAATTTGGGGTGATTTAGATTATGTGGACTGGGTAAAGAACACTCTGGTCTATGTTTGTCATGATCCAGACTCTTTGCACATTGAGTGATTAACCGTCAATCATGTATTAATTTTTATTCAAAGGAAAATTTAAACACCTACTTTAAACACAGTTCATTTCCTCAGGAAATTGTATTACAGAATACAGAACTATATACAAGCCAATGGGGTTAAACAGTTGTTAACCGTACGAGTTGATAAAGGAGCTGTTTACACAGAGCTGTATCAAAGCACCATGATGGATTTTGACTTTGGACTTTGGACTAACTAAGCGGACCAAAACTAGAAGAGTAAATTGTTCCCCAAACATTACTTCATATAAAAACTTTACATTGGATTACATTAAACTTGGATTCTGTGTTTCTTTCATTTCAATTCACACTATTAGACCTTGATTACTAAAGGAAATTTAAAGAAAAATCTTTAATTTTCAGATTGAAACACTAAGTAAGAGTCTGCTTATATTTAGAAAGTGTCTTCAGGTCACTTTTTGATAAACACAAGGATTTAACCAAGTGTAGCAAATTGTTCTGGATATGTCTGAGTGTGATTGCCTTTATGGAACTGAATCCACATACAGTTCAACTACTGAATGGGCTTTTCTTCACAATGCTCTCAGTGCTGTGTTTAACTCTGTTACATGCACACTTTTCTCCAACACACATTTCCTTCCACTCAACTTTCCATTGAACAGACAGCTTCTGTAGCCAGAACATTTCATAGCTTTCCCTCATTGAAGAGCATATCAGTGATGAAGACTAGCGAACTGGTCAGCTGTCTACGCCATAATGATGTGGGCCATAACAAGGGCAGAGCTTGACAATTACACATCAATATAATCTATCATTTATTTTCTTTTAAATTAAATGCTAATACTAATTACCTTTCTGCTGATATTCCTGTTTAATGAAATCCTCCTATAGAGCATTTTTGCTTGAGGAAAGCATTTAATTCTCCTACTAGACTACCTCTAACAAGATTATTGTGGCTGCTGTTATTCATTCACCTCAAAGACCAACATGTTGAAAACAGCAAAGATTGTTTTTTGTTTCTGCAAAATAATTAAATGGAGTTTAATTCTCATTCATCACCAAACCTTTCTATCTTGCTTTATCTTTCATTCTCCTTCTGGTTCTCCAAACATTTTTGCTCAATGTCTACTCAAAGAGCGCCCCCTTGTCCTTGAACTGCATACTGCACCTCACATTGATGACCATCAGAATGGGAATAATATCACATCAGAATGAAACACTCCAAAAATCACACAGTCTGAATAAAATATTTCAGATTATTAATAAGTCTCCCTTGTGCATTCTCTCTGTGCTATATTACATCTCCAAATATCTCAACTTATTCTCACCTGGAGTACAGGAAGACTATCATATGAGAATCGCAGAGCCACAGAAAGCCATGCATGACAACGTTGAATCTCATTTCCCCTTTTCATTGTGTCAAAACAGCACAAAGGCTGCTAATTGCACAATCTATTCTCTGAGGCTGCGTGTCAGTCCTCATTCCATGGATGAGTAGATAGCATTTAGAACTTCACTCTAATGCTGCAGCCGTCCCTATCACTACAGATTGAATTCCACACATCAAATTTATTTCAGATGTTATTATCTGTGGCAGCCTGCCAGTTCTGCCTGCCACTCACACAATGTCTCTGCAAGGTGTTTTCTCCTCGCAGCAGTGGCCAGAATGCTGTATTTTCTGACAGCATAGCACCAGTGGGCACCCGTCTGCAGAGTGCACCTGTTGAAGAAGTGCTCAATAAGTCAAAAATGTCACCTCTCTTTTTGTGTGTGGAACTTTCCTTCCTTCTTTTTTTATTTCTCTCTCGTTTTCAGGTTTGTGATAATTTGATTTGGCGTTTCCTTGATGATTCACTTCACCTGTGGATCACTGTTTGTACCCCGTTGTCTTTCTATCTGTTTCAGTCTCTCTGGTGTCTCGGTGAGTCATACTACTACGTGGCGTTTCCTTTTTGCTCACAAGGATAGATTGGTTTTGTAGGTCTGCCCTAAAAGTGAAGCCTAGTGTGTCTGGAATGAATAATAAATGGGAATGGATCAGATGAGTGAACTCCTTTTTCTGGATCCTCTGCTGTAATGGCCACCGTTAGATTCTCTGTTTGTTGATTATGCGTGCAGGACACATGGAAAAGGATGCAAAGAGTTAAGGAGCTTATTTTTAGGAGATCTCGCATATGAGGGCATGCACTGAATTGTGATGGTGATATTTAATAGGGGCAGCCGTGAGCATTTTTTATTTAAATTAGTGGAGAAACTGGTAATAAAAGATTTTCGCCTGCCGCTGCTCCTCCGTTAATGTTTGATTAGAAATGCAATGCTTTTAAATTAAGATTTCTTTTCCCCCTTGGTATGAAATCAATCAAATTAACGGAAATTGAATTATTTCAGATAGTAATCTATTTAGGAAAACCGTTCACCATGAAAATGTTTTCCTCCTGTTATGAAAGGAAGAATAATTGAATCAGACCTTGGTAAGTGACCCACAGTGGCTGATACAGAACAAGGCAAATTGGAATGAAATATACGTTTTTGTCCCCATGTTCTGACCAAAACATGGAATTTACTTCTACATACCAAATACAAAATGCACACTATAATGTGTTACAAAAATATCCTTAAAATGGGGAATTTTTTCATAATAAAACCAAACTACAGCAAACTAAGTCAAAAGAGGGGAAATATATTTAATATTTTCACAAAAGAAAATCTGAAAGGTATGGCATGCATTTTTACCCCCTAGTACACTGATATGCCGCAAGGAAATCTAGTGCACCTAACCGCCAACAGACATCTATCATTGCTACCATGAAACATAGTAGTGCTACGCTTTATTTTGGAAAAGACAGGAAGGCTGGGTGAGTTAATGGTAAGATGCATTGAACTATATGCTGAGCGATCCTAAAATAAACCAGTAAGAGGCTGCAAAAGAGCTGAGCATGGGGAGCAAAATAATCTACCAGCAGAATGCCGACCTTAGGCATAAAGCTAGAGCTAATCTGTGTTTTTAAACCCTAATAAAGCTTTGACATAAATCCAAATAAGTAAAATCATTAATAGTTGAAAATTGATGCACTCAGACACTAAAGAACAATAGGCAAATATGTCATTCTCTATAACTGGGAAAAGCTTATAGAGAAATCCCTCACAATACAGTAGCAGCCATTCAAAATGGCCCCCTGCTTCTCCTGGGCGTGCATATTTTTTTTAACTCTGATTCCACCCTTTCACTGAAGAAAAGGATCCAACCATGACATGGAGCTTCTCTTTAGATCATATTGTCCGCAAATCCTAAAAGATTATTTTAGTACAAAGATTGATGTTTAAAAAGGAATTGTAGGGAACCAGCAAAGAACCCATCAAGGAAAGTGGGGAAATTTTGAATGGCTACTACTGTATGTGTAGCTGTAATGTGGTAACACTAGATGAAACATTGTGGAATATTGTGCATTTTAAATTTCTAGACCCAAATAAATTGCTCAACAACGCCACCCTGGAAATTTCACCCAGGGAATATTATCCTCTTTTTAAGGCACACAGGTTCAGTTATGCATGGATTGAGACATCTGAGACAGTTTCAAACAGAAAGCTATTTACAGAAAGCTATTTATTAAATTCTTTTTAAAATACTCTTTAAAAAATAGTCCTTTATAATAACCAAAAAAAAATTAAGAAAAACAGAAGAAACTACAGTCACTGAGGTTACCAGCAGAAGGGGCAACTATAGGGACGGCATCCACCAAACACAGCTAACAAAAACCCTTTAAATCACCAAACCCAGTGAGACAACCCACCAGCACCTACACCGGACCTCAGCAACTGTAAGCAGAAAACAATTAATAAATGTAACAACCTTAAACCTTATACAAAAGAAAAACAATATCCAAATAAATTAACAGTTATATAAAGAATCAAAAGGGCTGGAACAAAATAAATAATGAATTCCTGCCAATACTCACAAACGCGCACACACAATATCTTGAAATCAGATTTGCTGACAAAAAGTCAGGCAGGGATAGATGACACCTAGCACTAGGAAATAAGAGCAGCATGCACCACACTTATCAATTTGTTGCTCCTTTACTCAGGGGCGGATTTAGGAAATTTGGGGCCCTAGGCAAAGACGGGCATGGGGCCCTCTGAATCGAGAAGACAACACATAAAACAGACCCATTATACAGATGCAGAAATTTTTCTAGAGTATACAGACATTATTGTTTTCTTCCTTAATTCTTTCTCTTCTTGTCCCTTTTCTTGTCTTTTTCCTCTCTATCTTTTGTACTGAGCTGACTTTTCATGCTGCCTGAAAAGGAATGAAAGATTTTTTCCTAGGTCTAAGCTCACTTAGTTGATTGCTCCTTCCTGTATTTC